GACCCTTAATCCCGCACCTCCCCCCCCCGTTACCCCCATTCCTGCCCCCCACCCCCACCCCTCGCACCCCCCAGTGCCCCTCCCCCCACCCCCAGACCCCCTCCCCTCCCCCCCCGTGTCCCCGGTACCTGCCCCGGCCCCGGCCCCGCTCCCGCCGCTCCCGCAGCTCCCGCCCGCCGCGGGCACGCGCACGGCACCGGCCCCGCAAGCCCCGCCCCCAGCCCCACCCCCACCCCCCCCCAGGCTGAGGCTGCCCCATGGACACCACAGAGACCCCATAGACACCCCATAGACCCCTGTTCTACCCCATAGACACCCCATAGACACCCCATAGACACCCATAGACACCCCATAGGCACCCATAGACACCCATAGACACCCATAGACACCCATAGACACCCATAGACACCCATAGACATCCATAGACACCCATAGACATCCATAGACACCCATAGACATCCATAGACATCCATAGACATCCATAGACACCCATAGACACCCATAGCACCCATAGACATCCATAGACACCCATAGACATCCATAGACACCCATAGACACCCATAGACACCCATAGACATCCATAGACATCCATAGACACCCATAGACATCCATAGACACCCATAGACATCCATAGACACCCATAGACATCCATAGACACCCATAGACATCCATAGACACCCATAGACACCCATAGACACCCATAGACACCCATAGACATCCATAGACACCCATAGACATCCATAGACACCCATAGACACCCATAGACACCCATAGACACCCATAGACACCCCATAGCACCCATAGACATCCTATCGACACCCATAGACACCCCATAGCACCCATAGACACCCTATAGACACCCATAGACACACCACGGACACCCATAGACATCCTAGAGACACCCAGACACCCATAGGCCCCCATAGACACCCATAGACACCCACAGACACCTATAGAGCTCCATAAACACCCATAGACACCCATAGACACCCCATAAACACCCATAGACACAGACACCCCATCGACACCCCATAGACACCCATAGACACCCCATAGACACCCCATAGACACCTCAGAGACACCCTAGAGACACCCTAGAGACACACCATGGACATCCCATGGACACCCCATAGACACCCCATAGACACCCATAAACACCTCAGAGACACCCTAGAGACACCCCATAGACACCCCATAGACACCCATAGACACCTCAGAGACACCCTAGAGACACCCCATAGACACCCCATAGACACCCATAGACACCCATAGACTAATCCGTGGACACCCTATAGACACGCTAGTGACACACCATGGACATCCCATGGACACCCCATAGACACCCTATAGACACCTCAGAGACACCCTAGAGACACCCCATAGACACCTCAGAAACACCCTAGAGACACCCCGTAGACACCCCATAGACACCCATAGACACCCCACAGGCGCCCACAGACACCTCAGAGACACCCTAGAGACACCCCATAGACACCCACAGACACCCCATAGACACCTCAGAGGCACCCTAGAGACACCCCATAGACACCCATAGACACCCATAGACACCCCATAGACACCCATAGACACAGACACCCCATCGACACCCCATAGACACCCATAGACACCCATAGACACCCCATAGACACCCTAGAGACACCCTAGAGACACACCATGGACATCCCATGGACACCCCAGAGATACCCCACAGGCACCCTACAGACACCCTATAGATACCCCAGAGATACCCCATAGACACCCACAGATACCACATAGACACCCCATTGATACCCCACAACCGGCCCACAGACACTTCATAGACACTTGCAGCTGCCCCATAGGGAGCCCTGAGGAACGTCAGCTGCCCCACGGCACCATAGACACCCCATAGAGAGCCCTGCAGCTGCCCCACAGCTGCCCCATAGATAGCTCCATAGGGAGCCCACGGGGGTCTCACAGATGCCCCATGGAGATGTCCTAGAGGGTGTCCCATAGACACCCTATAGCCAGCCCCACAGTGTCCCCATAGACACCCCATAGCTGTCCCACAGGGAGCCCATGGGGGTCTCACAGCTGCCCCACAGGCCTCCCCCATACAGCCCATAGACACCCCATAGAGGCCCCCAGACACCCCATAGACACCCCATAGAGACCCCCAGATGCCCCATAGACACCCCATAGAGACCTCCAGATCCCCCAGAGACACCCCATAGAGACCCCCAGACCCCCCATAGACTCCCCATAGAGACCCCCAGATCCCCCATAGAGACCCCATAGAGACCCCCAGATCCCCCATAGAGACCCCCAGACCCCCCATAGACACCCCATAGAGACCCCCAGATCCCCCATAGAGACCCCCAGACCCCCCATAGACACCCCATAGAGACCCCCAGATCCCGCATAGAGACCCCCAGACCCCCCATAGACACCCCATAGAGACCCCCATAGACACCCCATAGAGACCCCCAGACCCCCCATAGACACCCCATAGAGACCCCCAGACCCCCCATAGACACCCCATAGAGACCCCCAGAGCCCAAATAGACACAGACTTGTGACTGGACCCCCCATAGACACCCCATAGAGACCCCCAGATCCCCCATAGAGACCCCCAGACACCCCATAGACACCCCATAGAGACCCCCAGACCCCCCATAGACACCCCATAGAGACCCCCAGATCCCCCATAGAGACCCCCAGACACCCCATAGACACCCCATAGAGACCCCCAGACACCCCATAGAGACCTCCAGATCCCCCATAGACACCCCATAGAGACCCCTAGCCTTCAAACGGACAATTTATTGCAGGCCCAAGCTCTGCCCCACATCGCCCCCCAAGTGTGGGGAAGGGTCCAGGGATCAAACGGGGCCAGGGAGGGCCAGAGCCCCGGGGACCCTGCAGAAAGGGGGCAGGAGGGGTGAACCCCAACGTCCAGCCCCCCAAGTTGAGGGTCCCTGGGGTCCAGCCCCCCAAGTTGAGGGTCCCTGGGGTCCAGCCCCCCAAGTTCAGGCTCCAGCCCCCCAAGTGCCCCTCCCCCCCCATGCCTAGAGGTGAACATCGAAGACCCCATCCTCCAGCTCCTGCAGCTCCTTGGGGGGTCCTGGGGGGGGGAGGGGGGGGTCGTTATGGGGGGGGGGAGGGGGGGAGTGGTTGTTGGGGGTCAGGGGTCACGGTGGGGGTCTCACCTGGGGGGCTGGGCGCGGGGGGGGCCCCGGTGACGCTGCAGCCGCGGGGTCGGCACCGGGCACGGAGCAAGTCCCGGCACGCGGCGTGGCAGCGCAGGCCGCAGCCTGGGGGGTGAGTGCCCCATAGAGACCCATAGGGACCCATAGAGACCCATAGGGACCCATAGAGACCCATAGGGACCCATAGAGACCCATAGAGACACATAGGGACCCATAGGGACCCATAGAGACCCATAGGGACCCATAGAGACCCATAGAGACACATAGAGACCCATAGAGACACATAGAGACCCATAGGGACCCATAGAGACCCATAGAGACCCATAGAGACACATAGAGACCCATAGAGACACATAGGGACCCATAGGGACCCATAGAGACCCATAGAGACCCATAGCGACCCATAGAGACCCATAGGGACCCATAGAGACCCATAGAGACACATAGGGACCCATAGGGACCCATAGAGACACATAGGGACCCATAGAGACCCATAGAGACCCATAGGGACCCATAGAGACCCATAGAGACACATAGGGACCCATAGGGACCCATAGAGACACATAGGGACCCATAGAGACCCATAGAGACACATAGGGACCCATAGGGACCCATAGAGACCCATAGAGACCCATAGCGACCCATAGAGACCCATAGGGACCCATAGAGACCCATAGAGACACATAGGGACCCATAGAGACCCATAGCGACCCATAGAGACCCATAGGGACCCATAGAGACACATAGGGACCCATAGGGACCCATAGAGACACATAGGGACCCATAGAGACCCATAGCGACCCATAGAGACCCATAGAGACACATAGAGACCCATAGGGACCCATAGAGACCCATAGAGACCCATAGGGACCCATAGAGACCCATAGAGACCATAGAGACCCATAGGGACCCATAGAGACCCATAGAGACCCATAGGGACCCATAGGGACCCATAGCAACCCATAGAGACCCATAGAGACCCATAGAGACCCATAGAGAACCATAGAGACCCATAGAGACCCATAGAGCCCCATAGCGACCCATAGAGACCCATAGAGCCCCACAGAGCCCCATAGAGACCCATAGCGCCCCATAGAGCCCCATAGAGCCCCATAGAGACCCATAGCGCCCCATAGAGACCCATAGAGACCCATAGCGCCCCATAGAGACCCATAGAGCCCCATAGAGACCCATAGCGCCCCAGAGAGACCCATAGAGACCCATAGCGCCCCATAGAGACCCATAGAGCCCCATAGAGACCCATAGCGCCCCAGAGAGACCCATAGAGACCCATAGAGACCCATAGAGACACATAGAGACCCATAGAGACACATAGCGCCCCATAGAGACCCATAGAGACACATAGCGCCCCATAGAGACCCATAGCGCCCCATAGCGCCCCATAGCGCCCCATAGAGACCCATAGAGACCCATAGAGCCCCATAGAGACCCATAGAGACCCATAGAGACCCATAGCGCCCTATAGAGACCCATAGCAACCCATAGCCACCCACAGCGACCCACAGCGCCCCCCATAGTGCTCCCCATAGCGTCTCATAGAGCCCCATAGTGCCCCATAGCGACCCATAGCCACCCACAGCGACCCACTGCACCCCCCATAGTGCTCCCCATAGTGTCCCATAGACCCCCATAGTGCCCCATAGCGACCCATAGCCACCCATAGCGACCCACAGCGCCCCCCGTAGCATCCCATAGAGCCCCATATTGCCCCATAGCGCCCCATAGAGACCCATAGCCACCCATAGCGACCCACAGCGCCCCCCATAGTGCTCCCCATAGCGTCTCAGAGCCCCATAGTGCCCCATAGCGACCCACAGAGCCCCATAGTGCCCCACAGCACCCCATAGCGCCCCACATAGCTCCCCATAGAGCCCCCCATAGAGCCCCATAGCACCCCATAGCACACCATAGCCGCCCATAGAGCCCCATAGCAACCCATAGCCACCCATAGCCACCCATAGTGCTCCCCATAGTGCTCTATAGCGACCCATAGCCCGCCCCATGGTGCTCCATAGCACCTTCCATAGTGCCCCATAGCACCCCATAGAGCCCCATAGTGCCCCACAGCTCCCCGTAGTGCCCCATGGCACCTCATAGCGCCCCATGGTACTCCATAGCACACACTACAGCTACCCCATAGCGCCCATAGCACCCCGTTAAGCTCTATGGTGCCGCATAGTGCCCCATAGCACACCCCATAGCACCCCATAGAGCTTCATAGTGCCCCATAGCGCCCCCGTAGCGCCCCAATAATGCCCCCCATAGAGCACCATAGCACCCTATGGCACCCCATAGCACACCCATAGCACCCCATAGAGCTTCATAGCGCCCCATAGCGCCCCAATAATGCCCCCCATAGAGCACCCATAGCACCCAATGGCACCCCATAGCACACCCATAGCACCCCATAGAGCTTCATAGCGCCCCCGTAGCGCCCCAATAATGCCCCCCATAGAGCACCATAGCACCCTATGGCACCCCATAGCACACCCATAGCACCCCATAGAGCTTCATAGTGCCCCATAGCGCCCCAATAATGCCCCCCATAGAGCCCCCATAGCACCCAATGGCACCCCATAGCACACCCATAGCACCCCATAGCATCCCTTGGCATCACCACGGTGTTCCATAGCACCCCATAGCACCCCATAGCATCCCTTGGCATCACCACGGTGTTCCATAGCACCCCATAGCACCCCATAGCACCCCATAGCACCCCATAGCATCCCTTGGCATCACCACGGTGTTCCATAGCACCCCATAGCACCCCATAGCACCCCATAGCGCCCCATAGCACCCATAGAGCACCCCCGCCCCTCCCCCACTCACTGCGGCACTTCAGCCCCGGCCGGTGGAGACCCCAAATCTGGGGGGGGGGAGGGGGAGGAGGGGGGGGTGGTGAGGGGGGAGGGGGGGTTGAGGGTTCCCCCCCCTGCCCCCCCCCCCCCCCCCAGGGCCTCACCGTGCGGGCGCAGTGGCTGCAGGCAGTGGGGCGCAGGGGGGAGCTGCCCACGAAGCAATGGGGGGGGCCCGGGGGGGGCCCCTCGCTGCAGCGCAGGAAATAGGCCAGGACCTCCTCGCGGGTCAGGCTCCCGTCCCTGCCCCACACATGGGGGGAGATGTGGGGCTGGACCCATGGACCCACATGGGGGGAGATGTGGGGCTGGACCCATGGACCCACATGGAGGGGGGTTGGGGGGGGGGTCAGCATGGGGGCTGGGGGATAATGGGGGGCCCTATGGGGTATTTGGGGTCATTGAGGGTCTCCCCTGCCCAGCCCAAGCTGCCGTCCCTGCCCCACACATGGGGGGAGATGTGGGGCTGGACCCATGGACCCGCATGGGGGGGGGTGGGGGGGGTCAGCATGGGGGGTGGGGGATAATGGGGGGCCCTATGGGGTGTTTGGGGTCATTGGGGGTCTCCCCTGCCCAGCCCGAGCTGCCGTCCCTGCCCCACACATGGGGGGAGATGTGGGGCTGGACCCATGGACATGCATGGAGGGGGGGGTTGGGGGGGGTCAGCATGGGGGGGAGGGAGAAGTGGGGGGCCCTAT